GTTAATCTGCAAGAGACACCTAAGTCCTCCAGTGAAGCTTGTCAGAACTAATCCCTGCTGGTAACTGGTCACTTTGGGTTTCTGTTTCTGATCTGAAAATAGGGACAGCCTTGTAGCCCCAAAGGGATTGTGCCTTACTCTTACTGTCAAAGTGCCGGAGTGGTGAGAAAGTCTTTCCTGTTCTCAGAAACAACTTCAGTAAAACTTACCAAACCGTGTATCCTGTAAATGGTGCTTTTGTTCTGGAAGTGCTGCCCAAAAGAGGGCACCTTTACTGTTATGAAGATGCCCGTTTGCTGTGCAGTAACTGCAGCTGGTGACCCAAACTGACCAATAGGGTGTCCCATCCATCTGCCGTGTCAGTATAAAAGCTGAGGGATCAAAGGGGTCAGGTTGGCTCCTCTTCAAGGGGTGTTCTTCAGCAAGTCTCTTTCTTTGATGACTGATGCCCGGGGAAGACCCTGTCAGTGCATCTGCCTTTGATCCCCACCAGTGAGTTCTGGAATGCAGTTCCCGTTTGTCACTGAGACCAGTCTGGAACTTTCCCAGTGCCTGCTAGTGACATCTTCCTGGGAACTTGGCACGTTTTTTTATCTATTTTGTTATTTCCTTTTTATTTTAGTATGCATATTTCATTAAAGTAGTGTATTTTTTTCTAAACTCATAAATCTCTCTCTTTTTTTCTTCTCTTGGAGTGAGAGGTGGTGGAGAGCATTTGTTGTCTTGTCATTGGCCAGCCTGGCCCAAACCATGACATTTGGCCAGACATTGAAGATATCTTTTCTGTTTTTAAATGCTGTGCCGAGTGGTGTTAGCTGAAGCTTTACTGTTTCAGCTGTTCAGAGGTTCCCCTCTCCACCCTCCCCTTCCCACCTCCTGATCTGTTTCCATGTTTAGTGTAGCAAAAATTTACTTCTAGTGAATGTGAAAACAGCTCTTGTTAAAAAGTACTAGCTTCCCCCCCGGGTCAAGAATGCGGATTCTTGCACTTACCTTTTCTTAATTTCTGATAGTAGCATCTTGGTAGTTACACGTCTGTTAATGTGACCTTTCTGGTGAGAATGTCAAGGTTACTACCACCTGCTTTTCCGTCATTTCACACTTGTGCAGCTGTACCTGGTGTATGAGAATTCAGACATTGGTCTGAGTGTTTGGAACCTTTTTTTTCCACCAGAAGAGACCTCCTGTCCCTCCTCTTGGAGCCTGCACTATTGACTTCAGTGTTGGGTTGTTGCTTTTGTTTCAAAGCTGAAAGGGAGTATCAAAAGATTTGGGTATTTTTAAGTTGTGAAAAGGTATAAGTAAATTGTGGCAACCAAAAGTGAAAAATAAATGCCCTTCTCAACAACTTTCAGTCTGTTTCAGAAAGTCTGTGTCAGTTTACTGTCACTTTGTGAAGTTGGGTTGTAACTGCAGAAAACTATTTCATGCTTGAAGAGATGTCTTGTGGCTCTTCACTGCACGGATCTGTAGCTGTGACAGTCGTTTCAAATTTGCCTTCAACTTTATTTGTGCTACCATCAGGCATTTACAGTACTAAATCTACAAAAGCAGTAGTTAGTAGATTACCATAGTATGGGTTTTGGAGTTCTAATTTTTGCTAGCCATTGCAGAAAGCTACTGCCAGGAAAAGGCTACCACCATATTAAAAATTCTGCCAAATGGAACAAATATAGGGCAATTAGTATTTGTTCCAAGTGGAACAAGTTCTTACCATAACTTATATGGCAATAAATAGGCATCATCTTAGTTGTATTTTCCAGTCAAGCACTGGAGTGGTGTGCTGGTTTTGGTTGGGACAGTTAATTTTCTTTGTAGTAGCTAGTATGTGGCTGCATTTTGGATTTGTGCTGGAAAGAGTGCTGATAATACAGAGATGTTTTACTTATTGCTGAGCAGTGCTTTACACAAAGCCAAGGCCTTTTCTGCTCCTCACACCACCCCGCCAGTGAGTAGGCTGGGGGTGCACAAGAAGTTGGGAAGGGGACACAGCTGAGGGAGCTGACCCCAACTGACCAGAGGGACATTCCATACCATGTGACGGAAGAGGGGGGACATCCTGGAGTTAGGACGGTTTGGTTTTCCCAAGTAACTGTTGTGGGTGATGGAGCCCTGCTTTCCTGGAGATGGCTGAGCACCTGCCTGCCAAGGGGCAGCAGTGCATGAATCCCTTGTTCTGCTTTGTCTGCACGTGCAGCTTTTGCTTCACCTATTAAACTGCCTTCATCTCAACCCATGACTTTCTTCTCACCTTTACTCTTCTGATTCTCTCCCCCATCCCATTGGGCAACTTCATCTGTGGATGCTCTCACCAAGAATAAGCCTAAAGTCATCTAACCGTGTTTTGATGAAGTATGGATGTCCGTGTGTTGACTAGCCCTGTCACTAGGGAGAAAGCTGATTCAGATTTCAGGGTACAGTGCTGTTGGGGATCATTGCAGTCGTGGCAAAAAGGAGCTACTAGGGCTTATTAATATTTGTGGTGGTTGTTTTTTGTTCACTCTTTTTTTTTTTTTTAAAAGTTGTCCATGAATTTACATATGAACTGTATTGTATTTGCATAAGCTTGTTAGCTGTGTGGCTCTTGAGTTAATTTTCTGTTGATTGGAGTCTGCTGGAAACTCCTTATTCAAGTGACTGGAGGATGGGATACTCTTCATGCAGGGTCTCCATGTCTGGCTAATGCTAACTTGAAACTTCAGTACAGTAGTGCAAAAAAACCCACAACCCTATAATGGAGTTGACTGGTAATGATGCTGTTTCTGGTATGCAGTGTATAATTCAGAGAAGTAGAAATTGTGCTTCTGCCAGCTTGCCTTAAAAACAAATGTAATGAGTAGTGACAGAATATCCAAATACATGAAAACAAAACACTTAATGCATTCCAAATCTCTAAAGGAATTAAATGATAAATTTATATGTGCCTTTTCAAAGAGTAGAGCTAGCAGTGGCATTTTAAAGCAGGCTTAGAAAAGGAAAGCCTAAAACTTCCAGTGGCAACACTTCTGCCATCCTGAGTGTAGGCATGGAGCGGAGAGAAATGCTGTTGCTATCCAAATGTGTGGTGTCATCAGCTTGCTTTCTTCCCCTAGAATCTGCATAAGGATGTGATGTGAGCAAGGGAAAAAAAAAAAACAAACCATTTTTGACTGATGATAAATTGTATGCCATGAATTACTGTCTAAATAAGATGATACTGTACATCAGTATAAAAAGAAAAACAGAAATCTGATATGTTTTCTGTGATTCCAGGTATTCATTGATCAAATTAAAAGACCCATCTGTACCTAAATACAAATGTAGTCAAGACTTGAGGGGAGGGGGAGAAAAGCTGAGTTGTCAGATGGAGTAACAGTATGTTTCTGGATATGCAACTGCCTTGTGCATCTGCCCCATCTAGTAAAGGCTTCTTGAGAAAGGAGGGAATCACTCCAGATGCCACTCTTGCCATCTCAGTTTGTGTGTGCTGTGTAAGTGACAATATGTTGACGTTACATAATTTTATACCAAGTTTTGTGTTGTCTTGCAATATCCTCTTATGCTTTTAGATGTGGAGGATGAAAAGCTGTTTCTAAGCATGTGGTTATAGCTTGATCTTTTTTTTTTTTAAACCCAACTCATGGGGCTTGTGGCTTTCTCTGTTGTAGTCATTTAAACTCAGACACAAGCAGTCTTTTAGGCTGTATTGTACAACAATATTTTGGTAGCTTCCAGACTAACCAGGTAGTAAAAAGTTTCCATTGATGCAATCTTGTTTTACACTAGGAAATATCATAAGTGTGTATGGAAGATCTGGAATTCTTCAGGTATAACTTCGAAGAGTGTTTAATGCAATCCTCAAAAAACGTTGAGGTACTCATATATGTATCTTGCATTCTCCTGTGCCTTCCCCCTTTCTTTTATGCAGAAGGCCTTTGTGTGAGGCGTTTAAGGAGGTGGTTTTAGTGGTGGACTCTGCAGCAGCCAACTCTCTAGCTCCCTTGAAGGATCTGAAGCCGTTGAGATCAGGGATCCAGCTGGCTTTTTTGATTTGTGACCTTGATTTGTGACTCTGGATTTTCCAGAGCCTAGCCCTTGGGGGGCTGGGGAGGAGGAGGAGGCAGCATTGGTAGCGGAATGATTTCCAAATGCAGGGAAGATGGGATTGTGTTGTGGCATCTGCCTGATTCTCCTTAAGCTGATTTTCATTTGAAAGCTTTAGTAAATGTACTCATTGTTTGTTAACTGTTTAATTGTTTCTAGTTACAGCTGATGGGGTGGGAGAAAGGTGGCAGGAGTTGAATCCTGCTGAGCTGTCATAGCTGTAGGTTTGAAAGGAAAACAGAAAAGCAAGGAAACAAGGCAGAAGAGTTGTCTTCCCTCCCCCACTGGAGTATCCCTATTTAGCTGTAAGTTGCTTTCATTAAAACCATGGGTTTTAATGCTTTTGGACAGACCCTTGACAGAGGGGCAGCTTCAAATGTCTGAGTGGTCTTTCACTGGAGACCACTGCCCTCTGACCAAGGCGGGTGGCCTTGATATAGGCAGGTGAACTGGTATTAATTAGGCTGCAGTTCCCATTTAAGATTTTCTTTAAACCATATATTACTTCACCTGTAAGTGTGTGCCTAATTGTCTAGAAAAATGAAAATGTATAGAGGCAGCCAAGTCTAGTAGTGGTGATGAAGAGGTGCTTGAAGTGGTTGAAGAACTGCTTAAAAAAGTTACTGTTAAAGTAATCTCAGAGCGTGCCCATTTTTTCAAGTCCAAAATACCTTTTGACTCAAATGATGAAGTGCTTTGCAGTTTGGATCTTGTATGCACATAGTGTTTTGGTGTGCTACGTGCAGAGTAAAGCTGATGTACACTTAGCCCTTACATTTCTTGGTGGCTGTTCCTTGGAGCAAGAAACTAAATATTATGTTATCTTATCAATGTGGTCAAGTTATTTCTTCCACAGAGGCATAGGAAAGCCATAATATCTCTTAATTTCTAACAGTCTGGATGTTTTCCTCCAACAGGAACTGTTCTTATCAGAAGCAGCAATGGCCAACTAATGCTAGTATCTCAACAAGCAATAGCTCGAGCACAGAGTGAACCACAAAATAACACAAGCGTGAGACCATCTGTGCCGACCAGCACACCTGCAATCAGAATACGTGCTGTACAGGTAACTTCTCTCATAGCTTTAATTTGACGTAGCTGTATGTTGTGTAGTTGTAACAGGGTTTGCAAGTAAGTTATGGAGGGTTAAATAAGCATTCGAACGCTTTCTGAACAGCATGATGGTGTTTGGGTTTGCTTGTAAACATCGCTGTGCTTTGCTTTCTCAGCTTGAAAAAAACTGCTAGCTGTTACATATGGTATAGTTCAAATTAAGGGATTTCTCTCTGATCATGATGTAAAAGGTTTTGAGAAAAAAACTTAACAAACAAAAACCAACCAAACAAAAAAACTTCCCAACAACCCAACCAACCTACCCAAATAGTGACTGGTAGTAATTGTCACCTTGCGATCCCCTGGTGGGATACTTCTCTGAAGCCAAGTGAAGCTAAGGACCTTTCCCATGTCCCCAGGATGTTCCTCCTTCCCTGAGCTCTGCTGACTTTTTGCTCCATCTCTTGTAATAGTCAGTATGCAATGGTGAGACCGGGTACAAAAAAAGTAGCAGTTTGCATGGGTTTTGCCAACGTGCTCATCCTTCAACTGTTTTGTTCTGATTAGGCATTGAGTCTGAATGTCTTTGAATCTGATCTTGAGTATTAAAGGGGTAATCAAATAGCTTTGTTGAACAGTGTTTAAACTGCATGGGCTAAGTGAATGATGCCAGTATTGTTACTTTAAGGGTTGGCATCTTGGTTTATATCGGACAAGAGTGAGTACTAACTTCAGTGTCTGTTTTGTCATTGACTTGTCTGACAACTATTCTCTGTGTGTGTTTAATTATTTATTTTATTTTATTTAAGAACTCTGGCACCCAGTTACTGAAGAAAGTAGCAACTACTTCTGTGAAACCATTATCTCAAACAACAAATGTTGTGGCTTCTACTGCTCAGCCACCTGCTGTAATACAGGTAGGTGGCAAGCTTTATAGTGAGGTGGATAAGTGACAGAGAGAACTGAAGAAAGTAGGAATACATTCTTGTTATTTCTAACTCTAAGTTTTCACTGAGCTGGTAGCTTGTTGTCCTCATGATAAATTCTTTCCTGAGTGTCTTTTTTTTTTAAATGCATAATTTAATTATGCTTCTGCCAGTGTGTGTCAGCTCATCTTCTCTCACTGCAGTAGAAAAAGCATTTTATTATAAAATAAATAGTTCAGAGAGTCATTTCCAGTGCTTTTATAGCCTATGACACAGCTTCTTCAAGCTTTTCTGGGAGATGGAGGATTCCCAATTCTATCTCCTTTTTGGGTTCCTTGATTCCTTAGGGGGGAAAAAAAAAGTACACCTGTGATGATGTTGAGGGGGAAAATGAGCTGTCTGCACGAGTCAAGCTGTTTTTCATGTCTACATTTTTTCCCCCTCATTAAAAGCTGAAGCAAGGTCATAGCTGAAGACCTCTGTTCTCTAATTAAATTTGGCAGACAAGTTCCACAGATATGACTGTAAATAGACAGTGGTTGGAAATGCCTCATTATTTTTAGCTACTGGTTTTTGTCTTATTTCCTAGGTCTTATTTCTCTTTTTCCAGAGAAAAATGTTTTAGGACTCTTCTGTTGTAGAACTTGCTATCTGTAGGATATGTGACTTGTAGACACAGTTTCTCCTGTGTTCTTTGGGACCAGAATTCTGGATAAGCACGTGTGATGAAAAGAAAACTGCTTCTTTCTGCTGCTAAATTATTCTGTTCTCCTCAAGAGGAGGAAAAATTGGGAAGAAGTCTGGCTTGAACATATCTTTTCTTTAGTGAACAAGAGCTTGAAGGAGACTGGGCTGTAGTGATTGACCAAGCACTCAGTAAATGAGCAGGATCAGTCATTCAAAAAAACCACTCTGGATGTGTGTTCATGACCTTGAGGGTGTTTGAAGGATTGGAGGATATGCTCGCTGACAGCGGTAACTAGCAGTCTGACTTAAAAATTTGTCCTCCTGCTGTTCTTCTGTATCAGCAACTGAAAACTACTCACAGCTCTGTCTGTGATCTTTTCTCTCTTCTTCTCACTACAGATGGATATTGTTGGGGCTAAAGGGGAAAACCCAGAGGCCTCTCTTAATACACTTTCTTTGCTCAGAATGGAAACGACATACGCTTGAACAGTAACGGGTATTCCTTCCCACTTTTATTTTGGAATACTAGCTTGCAAACCACATGCTTGTGATTTCTGCATAGAGATCTTTAGACTATAAAGGCAGTACTCATCTACTACACTATCCTTGCACTGGGGAGAAGAGACAAAGGTAAAGATTTCTACTGTCTGATGGAGGAAGCTGCCTGCATCCTCACAATCTTATGTGGATAAACATTGAGATTCATCATACTATTAACGTATTATTTTTTTTTTTAACTAGCATCTGCCTTTGATTTGGTTCTTTTCTACTTTTTTCTTTCGTTTTTGATGTAGTTGGTTTCACTTGTGTTCTTCTGAGATAATTAAAGAGGTAGACATGGAGTATTTTTTGTAAGCTATATTTTTTTTGGTTGTAGAATCTTGAACACTTCTAATGTTGGATTTAAACAGCAGGAAGGATGACTCTAGGAAAAAATTAATACTGTGATACAATACAGAGTAAATAGGTATAATATGGATACATCCTGCTATCACAGGGCTACTTCGTTCCTCACCCCGGGGTTGAACAAGAGAAGGGTGCTGATGAGGGAGTCTCTGTTTAAGGTTGCAGGAACTGTCTGGGAAAAGAAAGGAAGAGCCCTTGTGTCTGACTGCCTTGGCAGCCATTTCCATCATTAGTGGTAGAAAAACTTGCTGGTGTCAATCTTGACATTTTTTTTGAGGTCACAGAAGAGGAGTGTTGGTGTGGAAGTATGATTTCACTGAATTTCACTGAATTTTTAGAGTTGGAAGGGACCGTAGAGATCATCTAGTCCAACTCCCCTGCTAAAGCAGGACCACCCAGAGCTTGTCAGAGCATGTTACTCAGGACTGCATCCAGGCGGGTCTTGAAAATCTCCAGAGAAGGGGACTCCACAACCTCCCTGGGCAGCCTGTTCCAGGGCTCTGTCACCCTCACCGTGAAAAAGTTCTTCCTCATATTCAAGTGGAACCCTTTATGTTCCAACTTGTGCCCATTGCCCCTTGTCCTCTCACTGGCAACTACTGAAAAGAGTCTGGTTCCCTCCTCCCTCAGCCCGCCTTTGAGATACTTGTAGGCGTTGATAAGGTCTCCCCTCAGCCTTCTCTTCTCCAGACTAAAGAGTCCCAGCTCTTTCAGCCTCTCCTCATAAGGAGGCTCCCATAAGTGGGAGACCGTGGAGAGGAAATAATCCTTGGCTTGGTTGTGTATCTCCTGCCCCGTGCGAGATACAACTTGAAACTCTGCAATCTGCAGAACTCTCTCTAGTTACTGACTCCAGAATTATTCTCCTCATCTAGAAAAATATTTCCATTTGTTCTCATTCCTGAATGTCTTTAAGCTCTGAGGTTAGACAAAATACCTGCACACTTTTATTTTTTACCTTCTTCCCAGATGGGTTAACGAAGCTGCAAAGTATCTAATTAGCATCATGCTGGGGCGCTTTCATTTAGATGCAGAGCACTTCTTCTCTTGAAATGACTGCAAAATATGCAGGATTAATGCCATTTTTTGTGGCGACTGTTTCTCTGTTGCTCGAAAAGTGAGAATGAGAATTGTCAGTAGTGAAAAAAGGTTGAGGGCAGATGACAGAAGTTAATTCCCATATATTCATCTTCCTGGGAAAAGGGTCCAGCAGACCTCCTGTTGTTCCCTCCCTCAGCTGATAAAATGCCGGTCTGGTCTTGATGTGTAAACACACTGGAATTTGCAAGAGATCAGCTCCTGTGAACCTTGTGTTTTCAGGTTTTAAAAGCCCAGGGCACTGCAACTTGACAGATCTGTACTCTGTCCCCTTCCGTCTTTCCTCCCGTCCATCTGTTTGTGGGATTCTCGTGCCCAGTTTGCCTCCCTATGGTCTTAGAGCTGTTGAGCCTCATCCTTGGAAGAGGCAGTGGTGGTGGCAAAGATCCTGCAGAGAGCTATTAAAGTGTTACCAACAGTGGGAGTCTAAGCTGGAAAGCTTTCTGGTAGCTGCCTGCTTCTTTCATGTCAAGCTGGCGGCAGCTTGGGCTGGGGGGGGGAGGACCCAGGAAAAAAATAATTTATAAATAAACAGCAGAAGTGTGAGCGTTTTGCTTTAGATTTAAATGTTTGCTCACTAATTTTCTCTATCCTGAAACACTTAAAAGCCCTTTAATATTCTACATTATGCCTATCCAACTCTGATTAGTTTTTGGTTTATCCATGGGTAGGGTAAGTTGGGTTCTCGTGCTACTGTTTTAGCATTAGTTCAATTTGCAAGTATTACTCTTGTGCGTTTTAGCATTAGTTCAATTTGCAAGTATTAATTTGTGATTGCTGGAATAAAGTGTGGTGATTAAGTGTGTTAAGAGTCACTGAAAGCAATTGTGTATCACAGACCTGAGCCTAGAATTTGGTTTAGGAAACCAGACTTTCCCTTTCTCTTAAGAGGTTTGGAGGAAAAACGACACCCGACTTCAGGTTTCAAAAGCCAGCCTGAAACTTTTGCTTGTTTCCGTATCCTGCAGGTTCAATCTGGCTTTTTAGTTTTCAAGTTCAGAGATCAATAGTTGTGGGTTTTGTGGAGGCAAAGTCTTTTACTCATATTGTATTCTGTTGTATCAGAACAACTGTGTTGCCTTTTTTGAGTGTGGTGTGGGGTTTTTTGTTGGGTGTTTTTTGCTTTTTTTCCTTCTTTCTTTAAAATCTGCAGTAGAAGTACTACAGTCTAGTAGCTTTTCCTCTGGAAACTACTATTTAGCCTGGTCTGAAAAGGAGAGAAGCAATTGCATTCTTATTTTTCCCCTAAACCTTCATTAGTCTCCTGTTGCTGGATCTTCTGAATCTGTCGGTAAATTCTAATGAGATTTGAAAAAGAGGTCTTAAAATAACTGAGTTTCGTGAGGTTTTGTGTCTGGGCAGAGGAGAGAGAGAGGGAGATCCAAATTGCTGCCCGCAATGAAAAAGCAGGAAGAACCTGTTAGGTGCATTTGCTCAGCTGGGTGCTTCTGCTGGCACATGCATCCTTCCAAAGTGGACGTGGCATCTTTTGCCTACTGCACGCGTGATGGGAAGGGTAAGGGATATTGCAATGGGGAGAGGAGCTGCAGGGGGAAGAAAGGAAGAGAAATAATCACCTTAGGTCATATTTATTTTCAGAGTACTGTCACCTGCCTTAGCATTGTCCAGAATTCCTCAGTCTTAGATTGTGGGAGCCTGGCAGAGTTAATCTATTGGTTTCTTCGACAGAGTTTTACCTTTCTGTCTTCACTTGGAAGTTTCAGGCAGTGCTTCAGTCTGGGTGAGCCTTTGCCATTTCTTCCCCCTGCCCTTGATTTAAAACCAGAATTATGGCTGTGGGGGTTCTGTCACTTCCTGTATTAAGCAAAGCCTCTCAAAGCAAAGAAATTCAAACTTTAAAAACAAAAATACTAATTGTTTATTTACGTCTTAAATAGTACTGTGGAAGGGAGGGTGCTACCTTATACGCTAGCAGAATACAGTATGTTTGTCACGTTAGCCTTTGGTTAAAAAGTGTTAATTTTTCTTTTCAGCCAGCAGCTGCAACAGCAAGTGTTACTACAGTTACTGCTGTAAAGCCTCCGAGTACTGGAACACCTGTAAAACTTCCAGTTACAGGACCACCTGCACAAGCCATCTCCCAAAAGGCAGTCTCTGTGAAAGCAGAGGGCACAACAGTAGCACAGACCAGCGCTTCTACAGTAAGGGGAAAAAAAAAGTTTTTAATTAAAAATTAGCATTCTGTATATTCATCAGAGGTTGGAGAGCCAATGCAACATCTAACAGTCTTCTCTTTATTTCCATACTAGGAGATGCTAGAGAATGTGAAGAAATGCAAGAATTTTCTTGCTACACTAATCAAACTGGCATCAAGTGGACCTCAAGCCCCTGAGATGGGGCAAAATGTGAAGAATCTGGTGCAAAATTTATTGGTGAGACTCTTTTTCTTTTAAACAAAGTCCGCATCATTTGTGTATTGTTTTTGACACTGATTTCATCATAGTTTTGTTCCTTGTCTTTTTTATTTTTTTTATTTTTAAAACAGCTGAATAGCTTGGTTTGTGGCTGAGTACATTGGACCCTCTTTAAGTCTTATATTATTACAGCTCTTCTTTTAGCTGGATCCCATGCTGTATTTTTTGCCCTGACATTCCTGTTTCATTTTATGCACTCAGATAACTGACAGCAGGAGGAGCTGGTAGTGTTAACGCAGCTTCTGGGTCTGAACTGCTTTTTTTTTTTATCATGCTAGTGTAGTTTTGAGTCCTCGATGGCAAGAGTATTACTGTGGAGGTTGTAGTGCCGCGCTATGTCCGTGCTACTGCTTCACTCCAAGAAAGAACTGCCTTATAGGTTGACAGCGAAGCTCCAGTGGAACAAGCATGACATTATTTATGTCTTTAGACAATGGGATGGAGGAAATAACGTTGTGGCTGCCAACCTCTCTCTCCTTGCAGGTGGCTTCCGTGTGCTGTTTTGTGCTGTACCCCAGCACAGCTGGGTTTTCTTGGTAACGATTTCTCTTGCCACTTCTTGTCTTGGCATTTGACCGCTGCTGCTGTTCTGCTGTTCCACCGTAGCAGAAGGCTGTGGGCTGATGGAGGGGGATGGCTTTGCTAGTGGTACCAAAGGGCTTTTCAGTCTGGAAAAGCGTGGTGTAGACGGAGGTGTAATTTAAGAGAGCAGATTGTTTGAGGATGCAGCCTTGCAAAAAACTGATTCCTCTGCCTCTGCTGGACTGTACACCTTGCTTCTTGTGCTTACAGTACTTCTATTTATTTTATTTTTTTTAAGAACAGTTGTTACCAGACATTAGTACATCATTAACTATGTGCTTGTTTGCTTTTTGTAGTATTTTTTAAAGATGCTGTTCTTCTGCCGTTCAGTATGCGTATATGATTTAAATGCAAAGTAAAATAATATGTATGAGGGAAATGAGTAAAAGGCAGCTGTGAAGTAAAATGGTCCTTAAGGCAATCTCATGAAGTGGGTGTCAAGTGCCGTGTATGTACTGAGATGTAGTGCACCAAATCCCTGCATCTCTATCAATGAGACCTTGGTGACCTGTATCCACAGCTCAGTGACACCTAACAGGCAGCAGATCAGGTGAATAAATAGGAGAGCTGTTGTAAGCTGTTTGTTTGTGAATATACAGTCCTTAAAACTCCAGCTCTCTTCACGTAGCTCCTTGAATGGTTGTAATTTCTCTGAGGGGACAGAGATTGGTGCTGGGGTCCCTCTTCCTTCTGTGTCTGTACCCCCTTAGAGGAGGTGATGTGCTTGGTGACTCTGGCAGTGTCTACCCACCACCTTAGCCCTGTTATGGTGGCACTGAAGTAGTTGGGGGGGGACACTCAGAAATCTGCTGCAGCTTCCTAACTCTCCCAAGCCCTTGAATCAGGTGTTTGTGTTGGAGCAGAGCATGAAGAAAGGAGACTACTCTGCATGCCAGAGGACTGTTACTGTAGGGGTATGCAGAAGTAATGTCCTGATGTTTAGTTTCTCTCCTTTTGAAAGGCAGTGTTAAGTGTTCTGCTTTATTATGCTATGTATGCGTTAGACTAGAATTGTCTTACAAAAACTGCTGAGTTGTCTTTTGTCTCCGGTCTCTTTAAATTGATCTTTATACAGATAAACTACCTTTACAGAAAAAAAGTACTCCAAGCAGATTTTAAGTACTTCTGCATAACAATGAAGTGCTCAGTGCTACTTATAAACTTGTTTCTATTGGTTTGCTTCACTGAGGTGTTTAGACAAGTATTCTTAAGTGTGCTATCTGTCTGGAATTTAAGAAAGTAATTTAATTTGATACTACTCTATCTAAATTTCAAGATCATTCAATCCTACACCTTTTTTTTTTAAAATGTAAGAGGTGAAAAATATTGAGTATTGACGTTGAACAATTCCACGATAATGTAAATTTCCACGAATTTTGATACACCTGCGGAAAAAACACAGTAGATTCATACTTATAATTTACCATTGTAATTATACCTTCTTCTTAGGAAGCAAAAATTGAACCAGAAGAGTTTACAAAAAAGCTGTACATAGAGCTGAAGTCGTCTCCACAACCGTATTTAGTTCCCTTTCTCAAGGTAAGTGTCTGATTGTGGATATGTAGTATTTAATGAGAGGAGGGAGGAGGACCAGAAAAGAAAAGAGGCAGAGCATTCAAATGGGTATTTACTCAGGTCAGTTGAGGAAATGGTGTTTAATCTAGCCCTGTGTGACTGTTGCTCTTGGAAACACAATTTTTTGGGGGTAGAGAGGATTTCAGAGGAGTAATTTATGCTGTATTCTTAAATTGGAGAGTAATTACCCTCTAGACGTTAGTGGAGACTGATGTTTTGGAAGCTGATGCATCTACAGTAGAGCAGCTATACTAAGGTGACCTCTTATTTTCTTATCAAAACTATAGCTGTTCTGAGTTCTAATGCAGAAGAACTGTTAACAGTGAGTATTTAAGCTCAAAGAATCTACATCAAGCTAGTATTCCTCTGTCTGCTGGTTTGTGTTTAACTGGAGGCAGAAAAATCCCCCATCCCTTTCTCCAGAAGGATCTGACAGGACTACTGCAGCTTAGGAAAAGTAACCCAGGACAACTCTACCTCCATTCAAGCAGATACTCACCTAAATTAAAAAATGCTCTCTAAACACTTTTAATCACATGATAGAATAACAAAATAAAAGTGAACGTCTTTGTTGTATAGCAAGCATTAAATCCCAGTGAAAACATGGAAAACTTGATTATATTTACTTAATTGCAATGTGTACAGTATTCTTAGGCTTGCTAGATCTGTACATTTCTATGGCATTTATTATTGGCATGGTGGAGAATCAGGGAAGCACAGTTTAGTGGTGAAGCTGGGACAGAGGTTTTCTGGAGTTTGTCCTCTTCCTTAGTATTTGACAGCACCTATAACAGTGCTTGAGATAATGCTGATATTACTCTAGATGGCTGATGTTAATCTGTTCAAGTGTGGGATGCATAATTTGTGTTACAATGGCTTTAAATGCTTTGCTAGCAAGTTTGCCATCAGCTAGAGGACCACAGTCATCTCTGCAGGGCTTGATATAAAATTTTCATACTGGTCACTTAGCAGAGCTGTCACATGTTCCTGCTGCGGCGTGCTGTCAGGTACTGGTATCATCTAGGGGTCTGGGGCAGTTTCCATGCCCTATAATCCTTGATGAGGTGCTTTCTCCCTGTTACATTCTACATTAACAGAGAAATACTGTGACTCCAGAAACATTGGATTGATTAGACATTGCCGTGGTCAAAATTAGCTGACTTCGTAGTGTTACCCGTCCTTTAAAACATCTTGCACCCCGGTTGCTTTTTTCTGAAATACCTTAAGGATGTGCTGATACACACCAATTAGGTCTGGTGTCTGTAACTCTGAGCAGCTGTGACAGGACAGAGTGCCAAATGGAAGCAGACTTCAGGAGCACTTCTCTAAGGTGCTTCAAGATTCAGTGCTGGCCTTGTTTGTGGTGGAAATGCAGCTTGAGTCTGGAAAGAAATGTAATAACAGCTTGTTGCCAATTCACTTTTTGCTAGTGAAGTGAAATTTTAGGGAGGACTCTCTGGAGTTGTCTCTTATCTTTGAGCTGCAGGTTGTTGATGAAGTTGTTGCATGTGTGTTTTTTCTGTTCCAATAGGTGGAAAAGTACAGTGACTTTGGCTGTAGAGCCTGCTTGATTTTCTAATCCGTGCTGGATACTTTTGGTGAACAAATTGCATCAGGAGCATGAGGAAAGCTGAGCAGCCTATTTAATGTTCACTTCGTTTTCTGTTTAGATAGGTGTGCCACAGAAGGTCTAGATGTCCAAACAGTTTGTTCACTTGGTGTGTTAGCATGTGAGACAACATGTTCCTTTGGCATGAAGTCCAGAGTTGACAGCTCTGTGCTGGAGACTCTTACAGACTTCAGAAGTTGTTTGAGGGGAGGAAAAAAGGCTTGTGAGAATATCCATGTCGCTGCAGAACTGATTTCCCCTGGTTCTGAGCCAATAAAGATTGTAAATAGTCAGGGAGAAAAATCTGTAGAGGGCTTGAAGATTATTCTGTCCATTAACCTTCTCAAACAGAGCTGTAGTAAAAATGAGATGTTGCCAGATACCTTTACTAATGTTCTCTTGTTGCAGAGAACTATCTGGCTTAAGTTGTGCTGCTGCAACTATACGGGCATTATTAAAGTGGTATCCCCCCCTAGTGTAGATACAGCTGTATTGGTATAGAAATGCTCATCTCTTCAGAGCTTGTTTCTGACTTTATTGGATAATTTGTAGTTCTCTGTCAGGCAGGCTCCATGGAATAAACACAGCTGTTACAATATAGCAGGGGGTTTTGGCAAAACAAAAATTTTTGAGGTTGTAAAGCAGTTAAAATGGTCTTTTTCTAGAACGCAAATTTCAAATTGAAAACTCTAAATGAAAGAACAAAGTTAGAGGTGAGTTTCCCTTTAGATGGGGTTTGCTACGTGCAGTGAAGTCGTGGTGACTGTTCACCTTTGCTCAGCCTGTGTTGGTGACTCTTGTGGTGTTCACTGAGCAGTACTGTCATCAATTTCAGGGTGCTTGAATCCTAGTTCACTGAGCAGTATTGTCATCAATTTCAGGGTGCTTGAATCCTAGCAAAACGTGTTTAGAATAAGCAATTTATTGTCTTGTGAAAAATTAAATTGGAAGATGAGGAAGAAGATTCGCATCTGTATCGTGGAAGATTCTGCTGATGTTACATCTAGTGGTTTTTTTTTCATTTTTCTTCTAGAAAAGCATGATTGCTTTACGGCAGCTCATGCCCAACGCTCAGAGCTTTATCCAGCAGTGTATGCAGCAACCAGCTCCCACCCAAGAAGCTGTTTCAACCTGTACCTCTGCAGCACCTGCTCCTTCGATCGCAGCGGCAGCCTCAGCTGTAGCAACAACTTCTATTCCAGTTACAAAGCCAGCGTCTGCATCTGTAACGGTCACAGCTACTCCAGTTATAAAACCAGTCCTTGCCAGTGTGTTGGCAACACCTTCTCTGCAGACCGTGAAGCCTAAGCCTCTTCCTTCCTCTCCAGTGGTGACAGCATCTCTTCGTCCTGCAGCTTCAGCCCTTACCACAGCGATAGCAACATCAGGGCTGGCTACTATCCATACTGTCAAGCCAGTCTTCACCTCTGCGGTAGCAACGTCCTCTCTCCAGTCTGCAAAGCCAAAGCCACTACTGGTGTCTACAGCAGCATCTTCAGCAGCAACTCCTCTCCAGCCTCTGAAACCAGTCCTTGGAACCCCAGTCAGTATTAAAATCTCACAGCCAAACTCCATCGTTGCACAGTCAGTGGGTACTCAGCAGGTGGTTAAAGTGAAACAGTTGGTAAGATGAATTTCTTGGTTTCTCTATAACCGGGCTTCCTTACTTTGACTCTTACGTTTTTATAAAGAGGAAACCAGTTTGGATCTTACCTTTTTCTTTTTTTTTTTAATGTTACCATATGAAGCCAGTCTGTCATGAGTTAATCGGTTATGTTTGTCATATTTGGGGATGTTGAGCCCTTGCTGGACAGGTGACTCTAAAGCTAAGCTGTAAGTTCGGTCTGTTGCGAGACATGCTGACCACCATTCAACCAGACTGAACATCCAGCTTAAGACACAAAGGAACATAAGTTCTGACCTCTGCTGTGCATCCTGCCAGGCTAGGTTGGCATCTGAAAGAAAAGGCAGGAAATGCTAGTATCAGAAACTGAAATTGCTCATGGGATGCTTACATTAATTACTGTTAGATGCCCTGGTAGGGCTGTGCCTCAGCTAGCCACCAGGGATTCCAGTTTGTCTACCTTGGTAGTTCCTACCCTGGGTACTTTGCAGGCACAGGTGGCTTGATGATGTATAGTGATATGTTAACTGAAATGTACAAACTAGCTCAAGGAGCTTTTCAGAGCAGAGTTCCAACCTCCAAATTTACTAAGACATGTTAATTATGAAGTCATCCAAAAGTGAGCTTTTTCTATCAGGCCTCATTAGCTAACAAATTCCAGGAGGAATAAATGTCTTATTAAAACAATACCCTCAAAAGCAATGTGTTAACATTTTTTTTCTTGGCACAGGTTAACTTCTTGCTAATGTTAATGTTAAATACCAAGAAACTGTGGATCACAGGTATACCCAAAAGACCAATGTTGTGAAATACATTAAGTTTGGTTTATGGGTGTTTTGAGATACCCAGTAGCATGCCGTCTGACTGGTCTACCTGCAAATAACATTCTTTAGTATTTTGAGAGAATAATCTCCCTTTGGCAGGTGAAGAACTTGATTCCTGAATAGGACTCCCTTGTAAAGATTTGTTCCTTAAAAAGAGGGGAAAACATAAGGCTTCCTATGAAGCTACATTTAGTTTCCACGGGTGTAGCAGGGCATCTAGTAAGTGAATTTCCTTTGTAGTTTGTTTATTGTGTCTACTTGATTTAAAGGTATTCAGACCTTTAAAATGTTTTGCTTTTTAAGGTTTTCTTCCTTTCAAAGTGCATACGGCAGATATAATACAAGAATCCTGTATTCTAAATTAAAGAGCTTATGCTACCAGCTTTTCACCTTTTCAGATTTGCTTAAAAAGAACAAAGCATTCAACTACATGGAGGGGATGGGAGTCCTTTTTATGAGTGGGTTTGTTTTAAAAGCAGTTATCAAGCATATGCACTATCAGTCTTCGATAGTAGTAGCTAAAGCCAAATTGGAAAAGGAGTTGATACCCTTACTGTCTTTAAGGACTAAATTTGAAATTCCAGCCAGAAGAAAATGAGGGCTTCTTAGGTTGTTCAAGGGCTGGAGAGCAGTTTGTTGGCTACACAGCAAGCCATGTAATCTAGGGGAAAGGTTGGCCATCTGTACAAATAGACGAGGAAGCTTAACTCTGCACTAGGGAGTGGAAACACTTCTTGAATATGATATTGGTGAACTCAAGAAATGACTTCTGCCTCCTCCACTAGTGCTGTGTGGCAGCCTATTGCAACTGGCTTCTTCGCTGTGCCTTACAAGCGTTGAATTGCATACAAAACATGTTTTTATCCTCATTTGGGTATATCCCAAGCACAGTGATTAAAAGACTTGCTCTTCAAAATACCTATTTAATTTTGGTCTCATAGTTGAAGGGCTGAGTTGACCACTTCACAGCTTAGCTGTATCAGGAGCTTGGTGTTTGTTCAGACAGCCTATTCAAATGAAGAGAAAGTTCATAGAAGATGCTGCATCTTCTAGGGCTTCCCTGGTGCATTTCCTTGAAAGGACAGAGGGTCTGTTTTCCTCCCACAAGAAAACAAATCTGGACCTCCTCTCTCTTAACAGAAGGGTCCTGCTGCCAGCTGAAAGGAAGCACATGCCAGCTGTGCAAATCTGTCCATACAATGCTGCCAGCAATTTCTTTCCCTTTCCAGCCCGCAGGGTTGTCTGATGCCATACACTCCCTTTGCATGCCCATTTCTAATTTAGGTCTCTTGTGCTCGGGCATGTAAAGTTAACTTCCATGTGCCAGCTCCAATGTAACGTTGGTGCAGCTTAAGAATGCAGCACTGCAGAATTTTAATGTCAAAATCGTGACCAGAGTGGTGCAATGTCTAACTGTCTTTTCTGCGGAATGATTATTGAAACTCTGGGTTTGAATGGTGGACGCAGAGGGACCAGTTCTTCAGGGATGCTGTTGGTATTGATCACATGCCTGTGCTGTGACAATTGCATGTTGGACAGGGTGCCCTCCCAGTGCCTTTTTTAGCACAGCCTTGTTTAAGGGCATTGTCATCATGGAAAGAAAGCCCGTCTTGCTGTAGTATTGCTTTGTCTCTTGGTAAAGCACAATAATAGAAAATTTAAATTACCAGCCACTTGCTTCCAACGGTGAGAAAGCTGCTGTGAGATCACAATTTCATGTTAAGCATAAAGAGTGAGAGTTTTATGGTGTAGTTCCCACAATTACCAGAGAGACATGCTCCCTGGACGTTGCTAGCAGTTGAAGCAAGGAGTTGAAGTGCTTGTCCTGTTTCAGCCACTTGTTCTTCATGACAAGTCCCCTCAGAGCTGAGCTTTCTTGAGCAGAGAATCTCCTCTGTTTTTCAAGAGGTTTTTGTCCTGGATGTATGCTTTTACATTCAGCTGGTGAGGCTTCCTTCAGGAAGTGATACTGCTTGGAGTGTGTGGTGATAACTTACCATTTCTCTGCTGGTCTCTGAACTTTGCTTTATGACTGCAAAACAGGTTCCAGTAAAGCTAATCAAAGCCTCTCTCAGGCAGCTGTCCCTATGCTGTCATCTCGATGTTATATTGCAATTTTTTTTAACTTTAAGAGTGTTGGTGCTTTTTATTCTGATGTCTCTGTCAACCTACTTAACGGGGCACAAAGGAACAGTCCCTTTTTTTAATTACTTCTTGCTGCTGCTGAAGAGAGGCAATAACTCTTTCTTACAGATATAATCTATTTTTTCTTATACCTTTTTCCTGGCATTAGAACTTCGTCAGAATTTCTAGGGTTGTTGCCCTGTTTTGTTGCGAGTCCCAAGGACTTCCAGCTTTTGTTAGTCTAGCAGCTAGAATCACAAACACAAAATTGGCTTTTCTGCCAACACATCCTTTCTGTTTCTCGTTGATCTAGTCTCCCTGGTTACTTGACTTACTTCCCAATCCTCCACCTAGGATATTGATTTTAACATTGGCTATTTCTGTTCTTCTTGTCTGTCGCAGCTTCATCTTGAATGCTTTATGTTTCCTTCAGTGCTGTTTCACTTCATGCTGAAGATGAAGTGTCATTCGTGCTGGTGGTTGGGAGGATCTCTAAGTGTGTATCGGTGTGGGTGCTGGTTTATCCAAGGTGGTTGGTGGTTCATTGATGATCTGAACATGGAAATGATGCTGTTAACGTTATTTTCAACTTCTGGCATATGGAAGCTGGATCTTTCAGAAAGTTCAAATTCTGTTTTCATAAAAGCACATCGAAGCAAATGTTAGTGTGTGTACCACTTTGTGAGGCAGTGCTGCACCTGTGAGCCGTGACTCTCTCCATCCCTGTACTCCTGTGGTCCTTTCCTCTGTATAAAAAGTTGGGAGATACGGGATCTTATGTTTCTTCTCAAGAGCTGCCTGTTCATTGTCTGGTTTTCAGACACTGCCTTCAGCTCAGTTGTTCTGTGTTAGTGCTGCTATGCCAAACCATGATGCTATTAGCAGATTAATGTGGGGGTGGGTGGGGCGTATCTTGACTATTTGATATGCAAAGTACCTCTTTTTGTGAATATGTGATACTTATGCTGATGATGTTTACTGATAAATCTGAAGTTAGATGACAGGAGACAGCCTAATTTCTGAAGCAGAATAAATGCCAATTCTTTATTTAATTAAACTTGTGCAGTGTTGCTGTGCAAACACACTCCAGACTTTCTGAAGTTAGAATAAAAGATGTAGAGGAGAAAAAGTGGTTTCTCTACCCTGAAAATTCCTCTGTATTAGCTTTTTGCTGTTAAAAAAGTAGGATTCAGTCTGAAGGTGTTGATAATCCTGTGCTTTGGTAAAACCCATCTTTCTACTACTTGTAATCAAGAACTTTTCCAAAGGATGTATGAAAAGTTTCAGCTCATATTCTGCTAGCTCGGAGGCTTAGAAATGAGGCTTTCAGGGATGCTGCAATTTTATTATTTTCTTGCATTTTAATAGCTACCCCTGAAGAGGAAGGATTAGTATTTATGGACTGTGCCTGTAGGTCTGTGTTGTGATGACATCCTGCTGTCTGGTTTTGTTTCTTTCAAGAGCCTCTTTAAACAAAACTATCATCCCTCTTCCTTTTTACCCTTCAGCAGCGCACTGATGTTTTTGTGTGGAGGCTCTACTCACTTTAGGTGTTGCTAGTTGGTACTTCATGTTCCTGTGAACTGATGTGTTCAGTGTACTTTTGCTTAACACTTTGAAACTCAGCGTCTCAATTTACAATTGATCTTGCGGCTCCAAAAATGCATTAGTAACTTTATAGTGTGTACTCTTAATTCTTGGCAGCAAAAGGATTTCATGCAAGACTTCTAACTGTTTGTTTTGGTGTTCCCTCTTTTTAACTAGGTGTATGTGATGCCTGCCCTTCTGAACTTCTTGTTGGCAGGCAGACTCAATATTCAGTTGTTAGTCTGTTAAGCAAGACTTAAGAGAGGAAAGCCTCTTCGTGTAATGAATTGTGTAGTCCTCAGTGAAACTTGTATAATATAGTTATCAATAGAGAGTAGGGGTGAAGTGTCCTGAAGAGCTTTCTGAATGAACTGGAGCTTAAAGCTCACCACCGTGTTATTAAGATTTTGTTCCTTGTCATGAAGTGAAAAAAAAAATATATTTTTTTTTGAGCATGCTGTTTACTTTAAACTGAAAGCCAGACATGCATGCATGCCTAGTGGCACTTCTGGCTGGCTGAACACGTTGATACTGTTTACTTCTCTCTATGTTGAGCTGTTCTCACTCTTGATACTGGATTATTTCACTTCCAGGTAGTCCAGCAGCCATCAGGAACCATTGTAAAGCAAGTATCCACACTCCCGCAACCCTCAGTGCTGACCCTGCAGACACCTACTGAGAAGAGGATGCCGCTGAATACACTTGTTCAAGCTAACCAGTTTCCTGCAGGTACAGTGGAACCTCTTTAATGGAGAAGGGGAGTGCTGAGGTATTGAAATGAGTGCAGGCTGTGGGTAGACTGTAAGAATGTAGGATGGTGGTTGTCTATGGGGAGCAACCAGTTCTGTGTGATAAGTTTAACTTTTTTACTGTCTGCTTGGAGTTCTGATAAGAAATTTAGTGCCATGTCTACTTCTGGCACCTGTTAAAAGCGTGTCAGTCATTTATACTGGTTAAAATATTGTGAGTAAGCTCCTTGCAGTAGACTTCCTTTAAAGCTTAATGCTTTTGAGGATCGCTTCGTGAGACTTTGCTTTTTCCTTCAACAGGTCCAGGTTGATGTATAATATGAGTTGGTCTCAGACAGCCAGTTTTCACTAAAGCCTTTCACAGGTCAGCGGAGAGGAAGGTGTTTGTTGAGAGCATGTAGGGTTTTTGGCCATGCAGAATGTAACAGTCTAGAGTATCTGGTTTTCAAATGGACCTAACTAGTAATTACTGAATTTGCAGTAGCCTTTGCTAGAAGTATGAACTGATTCAACAGTTGTCTTAGCATTTTGCTTTCTACTATCGTATATTCTTTGTTTTGTTTTAGGTTCCATTCTGAAACAAATTACCCTGCCAGGGAATAAAATTCTGTCACTTCAAGCATCTCCTCTTCAGAAAGCTAAAATAAAAGAAAACGGAGCAACATCCTTCAGGTAAAAATAAACAGTATCAGAAGTTTACTATAGGAAGGAACAAAAGGAACAGACAGCAAGTATAGAGGTGGGAACAGAACCCAAATAAAAGCAACTTTCTTCAGTGACTTGTTTATGATAGGTGGTTTTCGTGTTAGAATACTTATTGGCAAGGGGGAACCTAGAAGTTTTGACCTCATAGCAGGTGTTAATAATTCTTAATTTAAAAGAACTTTCCTGATGAGGTTTAGTTTTCATCGTACTGTCAGAAGAGTCTAATTATACAAACAGTGAGTGTCAACATGTCTCAGTTTTTCACTTATAGAGGAGGCACATTGATCTCTGTGCTGTGAGTACTATTAACTAATCTAAAGCAAAGTTACCTTGTACTAAAAGCTCTCTGTAGGATTAAAGCAGATATAACCTCTGTTTTTTACAGACCACCGGATAGCATTGAACCATTGTTTGGAATGACTGGTCTAAAGCTCCGTGCTGTACTATGAAATCTTTTATTAGCTTCTCTTATGAGCTTGTTCCTGTATGTAGAGGTGAAAGTCTTTGACTACACCTCTAATTATGGCTTCTGGCATATTCTCTAGGCCTTTAGATTACAAGAGTGCTTAAAGCCTTTAGTTCTGGTACCTGATTGACTTTTCAAAAGCAGAAATTATTTTTGTATCTCTGAAATGTGATTTTGAAACAGAGGGTACAGCCTGCTATAAGCATTATTGGTTTTAACAACCTTAGGGCAAGCTTGAAGTTACTCTCCCAGGGATAAAAGCAGACATGACAGCTTTGTCATGTTGACCAGTTGACAACTTACCTCTTGAAAGCTACAGCTTTCTGTGCACTGATACAGACAGAGAGCTGTTGTTATTTACAGTTACATACAGTGTACACTGAAAACATTGGTAGCCAGAAGTTAAAGCAGTAGCTCTGTTCAGCTTTCTCAAGCTGTTACAAAATACACTTCAAAATATAATTGTTATGTAATTTAGTGTAGTGATAGTTACAAAAAGAATTTCATAAATATGATTTAAAAAATCTCAGAACAGCAACAGAAAACCCCACAAACTTTTGTGATCTTCCAATGAGAACATATCAACTGTCATAGCTGAAAAAGTTGAATTCTTGAAGCTGCTTCCCTGAGTCAAGTTCTTAGTGTAAGAAAAACTCTGTGTCTACAGTGTGATCCAAGATGGATTTCTGTTCCTGCTTTTGGATTCTGATTTTCAAAGTAGCATAAATTCACAAGAATTCAGGTTTGAAACCTCTAGCTCACCTTAAAATTTTATAGTAATTCTCTTCTCTGAAGAAGTTACTTCTTTGGACACATCCCTGGTGCTTTTTCTATTCACCAATATAACCAAACCTTCTGACTTTAAAAACTAGGCATGAGAATCTTCAGATATCTGAACCTGGGCAGCATGTGCCTAAATTTTTGGCTTCCCTAGGTGAAGTATCTGTGTTCTCCAAGCAGGTCTAGCACCACATAGTGTTAATCTGGACTGGACGATAGACATTCCTTGCTCTATTCAGTCCTAACTTTTATTATTCCCAGCACAGCTGTTCTTTGGCCTGTGATCCATCAATTGACTGATCATTTGTGAGGCAGAGCAAAGCATCATGCCCCCCTTTCAGGTTTTGTGATGAGATTGATTACAAGCAGAGAGCATGTCTTGTAATTGATGTGATTGTACGTCTGACTTGAGATAAGCTTGCTCGAGATAAGCAGTAGAAAAAATGGTGACCCCCACCCCTCAATTAGAAAAACCCTTCTAGAAATGAGAAGATTACAGCTAAGCATGGGCATTGCTGGCACTTGATTGCCCCACAACATGTATTGTAAAGGGCAATCTGTCTTAAAAGCATCAAGATTCTTATAAACTGCTCTGCATACTTCTGTAAAGTATATGCAAGAGCACCCTGGAAAAAATAAGACATATATTTACATCTTCAAATACGTATATATATTTTTTTCATTTATTCTATTCAATAGACACACACTACAAAACACATACCACTCTGACTTGTGCATTTTGTCTGGAAGGTACCAGCAATCTCAAGTAGGAAACAAGCAGGAGTGAGACAGCAGAGTGGAGAACATCTGGGCAGCTGCTTCTCCTGCCCCGTAGTGGTGGGGAGTGCTGGTGGTTCCTGCTCCGCTGAAATCGTTCTGTCCCACATAGCTTCTCTGTGATGGTGCATGGAAGTTTGGGTTAAGCGTGGCTTTCTAGTTTTCCCCTTGACTGTTGCATAAAATGGAGTAAATAAGGATGGATTTAGGAGGAGACATGTGCGTTGGTCAGACACCAGAGGGTGCCACAGACTCACTTTTCAACCAGTACAGGCAAATGCATAGATGTGAGGTGCATTTGCGTTGCTTGGGCTTCTTTTCCAGTGGAATATTCAGTATAAATGTCAAACCTGACTTCATGCAGGGTAATGCTCAGAAATCGGTGTTCTCTTTGCCCCCTTGTCCTGATAAGCTTAAATCACTACAGACTGTTAACAGCTGGGAGAGTTTTTCTTGTTGATCTCTGGGTGTGACATGATCAAATGCAAAAAGCGTTAAAGGAAGTGGTGTAGAGGAGAGGATTTGTGGAGGGATTGGGAAAATGAAAGCAAGTCTATATTGAACAGAAATGTCTGCATGTATATTCTGGAATATTTTAAATTTATCACTTTAGTAGAATGATTTTTATAGTTTACATGAAGCACCTTACCTAAAATGATTGAAGTTTGTTTGAACAGCAAAGAAAAAAGTATAGTAAAAAGTAAAAACTTAACGTGATTTCTGAAACTTACGTTAGTCTTTAGTGAGCACTACTTCTAAGAAAATGTAATGATACTTTCTTTGGGTTAAGTGAAAGAAGTGCGTAGGTGCAAATTAATCATTCATCAAAGTTAGTGACTCAGCAACTTAATCCAAACTTATATTCCCTCACTGAAGAAGTTAGAATTGGTAATTAAATACAGATAGAGATGTCTACTTGCATATCAGATCTTATATGTGTGTACTCACAAGAGACTGTGTGCATGGAAAAATTAATAGTAACTTGGTTTTAGAGAACTGAATCTTGTATGTAGAAAGGTGAACAGATGTATAGTCTAGAAGTTTACCTCCTTCTTGCTTAAGTATTTGGAGTACGTGGCCAGATTAAAAGCTAAAATGATTTACTGAAACTGTGTGCTCTACAGCTGTACCTGAGGTGCAAGCATCCTTACTTGGAATCCATAAACAGCTGCACTGGGGTAAGGTCAGGTTCCAGCACCTGCAGCTCTGATAGCTTGTGATGTACGTTCTTGGTGCTGGTTGTGCTGATTTCTGTAATCTCCTTCATCAGCAGATCAAGGCAGTCACTGCACTTCAGTGGGATTCTTGCCTCTGCCATCAGCAAAGACTTCTCTGTAGTGGTCATTAGGAAGAGGAAACAGGAGTGTACTTGTGAAGATCAGTTAGCACTCAATTAGCATGCAGTGAAGCTTCATTTACACGCTTCTTGAAAGATCAGGGTCTCTGTTAGGCTGACAGAGCACGAGTATATGCTTGGAACTGCTCAGTTGCTGGCTGTGAAGGGGCAGCAGGAGCGAAGCTGTTCTGGCAGTGATGACTTAAGCTTTAAATTGTGACTGTGGTAACAACCATTCTGACACAGGACAGTTTTAAGCTGAAAGAGGGGAGATTTAGATTACATAATTAGGAAGAAATGCTTTACTGTGAGGGTGGTGAGGCACTGGAACAGGTTGCCCAGGGAAGCTGTGGATGCCCCATCCCTGAAGTGTTCAAGGCCAGACTGGATGGGACTTTGAGCAACCTGCTCTAGTGGGAGGTGTCCCTGCCCATGGCAGGGGGGTTAGAACTCAAATGATCTTTAAGGTTCCTCCCAACCTGAACCATTCTATGATTTGGGGCACAAGCCTAGTCAGGAAGCTATGTCTAGATGTAAAGAATGAAGCTGGTTGAGGAATCTGTTGGCTCTCCATTTTCCTGAACAAATCATGTAGAAACTCCTACCCACAGGGACATGCAAATGAATGGCAGGAGGAGTAAGGGAAGGCTGGACTCCTTTACTAGCCAGGCTTCTCTCTAGAAGTTACTGGGAGAAGACTTGTGCCGTAGAAACCTGTTGAAGCCCAAAGGAGAAAATGTATATATAGTTTTAAGAAAAAAATGCCAGTGCTTTCTTGTGTCTTTTGCGTATTGCTCAAACCCAACCCATGCTGTGGTAACTTCAGCTTCTACCTGTTGCAAGTCAGAAGACAGCTTCTAAGAGATCCCATTTAACCTATGAATGTCAAGGTTCTGACTAAACCCTCGTTCAAGCATATGTAGGCCACACAGTGTTTTTCTGAAGATGAAATTTATCAAACTTTGCCAGCGAATACTCTTCAGGAGGGGTGGGTGGGTGTGGTTTGGTTTTTGTTTTCTTTTGTTTTCCATATCAAAAAACTTTCATATTGAGTGCTTCCACCTGTCTGTATTAATAATGCTGACTTGTGTTCTGGTTCTAAACCCTTGAATTCACTCTTAGGGCCTTTGTCACTTTGTGAAGCAAAAAAGGCTTTCTTTTCATGATCTAAACTTAATTGAAAATAACTTGGGTATTTTTATTGCCGAAGTCTTGCCAAAATTTTTCCCATATAAAATTCATTCAGCATTTTAACTAAAATGATCTTAAAAAAAAAAAAAAATAGCTGAGGCACACAGGCTATTTACTTAACATGAGCTTTGTCATGATTATAGCTAGTCTTAGTTACATTAGCCCTAAGCCTGCCAGACTTGAGTTTTTATTTTGAACATGTAGACCAAAGCTACTACAGCAGGATCCAGATAGTGGAGGGATGTTAAGAACTAGAGCTCTGCTGCTGTTCTTCATAAGCATAGCATCCTCCCTGCTAATGTACATGAGTACTATATGATAGGACTGATTTAAAGGACAGGGTCTGGTTAGTTCTGAATACTAGTGACAAGGAGTGTTTGTATCTTATCTTTTTAAGCCCTTGGTTTCTGAGCTTGCTTAAAATTTCAGTTCGATGTAAACGATTCATATGCCTAGCATCTGAGGCATTAGTCAAGCTAACATTTGAGAGGCACTTCACTGAAGTGTAAAAGCTTTTAGAAACTGTCTGTCCTTGTCCATGCCCACACTAAACATCTATTGTGTAGGAGTAGCCTACAGGATACCTGAATGTGGCTGTTTGTTGATAGTCAAGAGGCTGTTTCTTTGTATCCATTCTGAACAAAGCATTAATGGTTTTTTTCTTTAGTAGAGATGAAGATGACATAAATGATGTGACATCTATGGCTGAGGTCAATCTTAATGAGGAGAACACGTGCATTTTGGCAACAAACTCTGAGCTCATTGGTACAGTGATCCGTTCTTGTGCAGATGAACCTTTTCTCTCCTCAGAAGTGCTTCAGAAGAAGATCTTGAACATAGGTGAGAACAAAGCATATGTAACAGATACGTATGGATGTAGTATTTCCTTGCCTGTTTCATCAGTCGGCTTCCAATCTTTGAAGGAGGAGCTGGAACTGTTAACATCTGCCATCTCAATTCATGTGTTTCTACCAAACTATACTGAGTTTTTAATTCCTCCTCTAGGAAATGACTGCTCTCAAAGTTGTTTTTTTACATAGAAATAGTTTGAAGCACAACCAGAAAAAAGAAATTGGTGCCACTTTTACATGTGAGAACTGAGCAACTTTATTACTCTAACAACCATATAGTTGTCATAGCTAGTGTCAAATCAAACACTTAAGCATGCTTTTCTGTTTCTGCAGCTCCTAACTTGTTGCATTACACTGGTTTTCCTAACAATTTTTGCATTTCTCAGCCTGTTCAGATGTATGTGCTCTATTGGCTGATGTTATAGATCCTGACCGTGTGATTAGGAAGAAGTTTCAAACTGCCAATACACACAGGATAGACCTTTGTTTATGACTCCCTCTGTGGAACAATCTTTCATTAATTTTATGCAAAAGAGATGTTAAAGCTGTTTGTATCAGTGAATAATATTGCAATAGGAAGTTTTTAGTGTATGTATCATCTTAGCTGTTAGTTTCTGAGCAAAATCATAACTAGCTCAGCAATGTCAGAGCAGGGAGCATTCAGTTGTATAGCACCACACTGACTGGTACCACTGCTGTCTACAGCAAACTGGATGAACCTTGCTCAACTCCTTGCTTCTGCCCTCTGCCTGGTAGCTTGTCATACTGGAACAGTGAGTTTTACAGCTGAGCGTTCAGGAGAGTCTACAGTTCGTATGTGCAATCGTAATTCTGTCTCAGTGGTTTAACTATGTGATCACAAAGTCTTTCTACATGCAACTGGTTCTTAGTCTGAACTAAGCACCTACTCTGTGACGAGCACGTAACGTGCAAATGCTGTCTTCTACCTCAATATATCCTGCAGTAGCAAGTCAAATGTGCCATCTGAGCTGTATGGGGCATAGTTGAGTGAAGTAAGTGCCGTGCTACTAGTGGAAGATGGAAAATACACATTGAAACTGGTGCCTAGAAGCCTTTCTCAAAATTCAGTAGAGGGTTAACCAGTTATCCACGGGAAACAGGTATAAGGAAAACTAGAGCTCTACAAAAACAAAGTATTTTTAGAATAATGCTCTGGTTTGGGGTTTGAAGACAATTCCTTGAAAGTTGGAAAATACAAGACTGGCTGTTCCACTTAATAATAATTCATGTTGTAAATAAAAAGTGTTTTGATTGCAAGGAAAGGAATACTGTCAAGGAGTACAGCAATTCAGAAAATTAATGCTTCTGCTCTTGAACTGAGCCTTCTTTGACTTAAGAAGTGCGTGTGTGTAGGGAGGTCTTGAGGTCTAGGGGGATTTTGTTTTGCCTTTAAGTTGGTGTTTTAGTATTCTGATAGTATAGTGGGAAACTGCTATGGAAGGTGCTTGAGCAAAATGAGCTTTGTGCTCAGCTAAGGTGGAGGCCAAAGCTTACTGGCCAAGATCAGCCAGTGGGAACACTTTGATTGTATCAGGGAAAACATTGTAGAATCTCCCTGTCTTGCGAGATTGTTATTCATTTTCAGTTAGAGTAGCAAAGGCAAATGAAATAGGTGATTAGTGTTCTTTACAGTGTCCTGTTTATTCATTCTTAACACTCCGCTTGGCAATAAATACTGAAATGGGTTTTGAAGGCGGGCTGTATATTGCATCATAAAGTATTACAGCCTCTGTTAGTGCAGTTGAGGGGCGAGGAAAAACACTTCTGACGGGTAGAGTGTATGAAGCATGTGAAAATGCTGCCTGCTGTGCCCACCAGGGAAAAGTCACTGCTGCCCAGGTGTCTTGATGGAGTTGTGTTGAGTGATCGATGGTGTCAACCACGGGAAGGCTTCTCTGTCAGGAGCCTGCAGCCACGGGAAGGTTGTGGGGATGATGCCTGGCTCTGGGCACAGGGCTGGAACAGCTTTGCCCCGGAGCTGTCACCAGCCTCAGTCGCAGCTGCCGAAACACAGAGAGGCTGTGGCAGCCTGAGAGAAGAGGTTGAAGGTGATGGCACGATGACCCCGGCTGGACTTGATCTCTGTTGTCCCAGCTGCTGCCGTGGGATGGTTGGGTCTGTCTGCCCCATGCTGGGTGGTCGAGGCAGGTTAGTGGGTCCCGTGTGCCCAGAGTGCGCTGCAAAAACCATCCCCACTCATCCAATAAATGTCATGAGTTGTTAACAAGCACGGTGTCAAGCAGGGCAAAATGTAATTCTCTATTTTTTTTAATTACTGGAATTAACAGAATATGGCACTAATTTCTACAGCTACCGTTTCTCCCCCTCCCCGAACATGAAGCTTGATTTGTGTTCTTATTAACTTTGTCCTATAAATGACCTTGCAAGGAGAGTGGTTCTGGAGGCTAAGTGAAACAATGTCTATATTTTCTGAAGCTTGAGGCTAAGTTTTATTAATGTAATGTCTAAGATCTTTGAAGTTGTGACTTTACCAGGAAAATCATAATCTCCAAACCTTTATTCATAATGGGTATGACTTCCAGGGGGAACAGAATACCTGCTGTGCTAATTATTTCAATTATCAGCTACTACTAAAACACGTAATGGATTTTCTCTGCTTCCACAGGTAAAAGGCATGACATTATGGAACTTAACTCTGATGTTGTGAACTTGATCTCCCACGCTACACAGGAGAGATTACGAGGGCTTCTAGAAAAACTAACTGTAATTGCTCAGCACAGAGTATCAACCCACAAGGTAAAGGAAATCATTAAGCAAGTTTTGCACCAAAGTTTTCCTCCTTTGCAACCTTGAGGGTAAACCTCTTCCAACTGTAGGCACATCATATGCAATCTGTGCATTTTCAGTATCTACCAAAGGCTGGTTTTGTTCTAACTGTTTATAGCCTCTAACTATTCCTTATGTTTTCCATTTGAGTTGGGTAGGTGCTCTTAAAACCCAGCATGAGAGTACACGCATGCATTTCTCCTCCTCCTCTTCCATAGAAGTGGTGGCTGTTACACAAAATCTGTCTTGGATGGTAAATGTAAAACTATTTTTGAATGCTCTCGGTGGTTGGGTTGATTTAGGGGCTTGTGTTTACTTTATGCATTTACTGTTGGTGGAACTCCAGTATGGGCTCAGTAAAAAGCCTCGAGAAACTGAATTGAGTATTTTATTTTTAGGAAGTACTCTGTGTGAAGGCAGAGACCCCTTTGATCTTAAAGTTTCCGGAACTTTTTTTCCATCAGTGCTACTTAAGATTCCCTCCCCTTCCTCTTGTGTTAGCTCCATTCAATATAAAGTATATTGGATTTCAGGGAGCCAGTATCCCTTAAGATGCTTGTATGGTGCAAATGGGAAGCAATAAGTTACTAGTGGCCAAAATAGCTCTTTGAGGCTTTTTTTTTTTTTGTCATTCAATAATAAAATATTAATCCTTACTTTTTCCAGTATTAAGCTGTTTAAGAAAAAAAATTTGGAAGTCAGAAGCAGGATGTATCTGTCAGCTCTTAAGTTCTTGTTTGTTTGGGTCTTGGTTATTTATTACAGTAACTTTATACTTAATGAAATTTAACAAGAACAACTAACTGGTGGGATAGGAGTTATTTTTGTAGTGAACACTTTTTATAGGCTTTTAAGTGCTGGAGAAGCAATAGCAAAGAGAAGAAACTATTTGGAAACTTCCAAGTATTTATAGTGATGTCTGGAGCAGTTGGAGTGTGCTGTTCCTTGCCAGAAGAAGATGCAGTAGCAAAAAAAAAAAAAAAAAAATTAAAAAAGAGCAGGTTCATACAGCATGAACATCTCTATAGGACTCTTTCCAGAGGCATCCTCATAATCCTTTAGGAAAAACAGATGGGTTGAAGATGTTGTTTATGAGAAAACTCTCTGTTAGGAAGATAACAGCCTTTCTAGGTACTCTCTGCTGTTTCTTCTGGGTTTTGGTTTTTTTCTTGCAAATATCTTACAGCTATTTTTAAAATAAAAAAAAAAAAAAAAAAAAAAAATGTAGAAGAAGTATAGAGTTTTTTTATGAGAAGTCTTCAGAGAGCTGCACGTGTTCTGTGTTGTCTCTCCAAAGTGGGAGATCCAATAGGGCTCATGAGCAAAAGTGAGGTGGAAGCTGAAGTCCTGAGTAACCAAGGTGTCTTGGAGACACCAAGTGCACAAGGGAATGTTTTTGGACAGTGGGCTTGACAGGGCTGGTTTCTGTCTCATTGAACTAAAGCAATAGAAAACTGATAGGTTTTTGTCTGATTGAATTGCCAGAAGCAATGATGAGATTGTAAGCCTGCAATAAGCTTGCTTTCTTTTCCTCTTTTCTCAAAAAAAAACCCAAACAAAAAGTAATGGACATAATAATCCTAGAGGCACAGGTACCCTCTTTCGTTAGGAAGATGGGATTATGCTACAGAGGAGCCTCCTACAGGATTGCATTGGTGAGTAATAATATCGTGAGAGATGCTGACAGGCTTTTAGAAAGCTAAGTTCAAGAACAGCAGACTATGGGGTTTTGGAGTCCTGTTATGTATTTGTATTTTTATATATATATTTACACAGCCTGGTATTCCATCTCCCCCAGTGCTTGCCCCTGTCCTCTTTTCCCTCTAGGCTGTCAATAGGTACAGTGTGTGCAATCCATATATTTCAGAGAATTATCAAGAGCCTTTCCAAGAGAATTAGGTAGTTGGATTGGAATACTTTGCATTGGCCTATCTTTGTAGCAAAACAACGGACAGCAATAGGGATAGGTGTGGTGAAACCAAGGTAATTATTGTTAGCGTAGAAGCTGGTGTAAGAAGCCAATAATTCATGGGGTTGTACTTGGGAAACTCTTCTTTCCAGTTTGCCCAGCTCATGCCTAGCAGCTTATTATCTGATGGATAACCCTGCAAGAGAGAGAGAGTTGGCAGGGTAAAACCTTCATACCAATGCCACCATGTAGGCTTAAAAAAAGTATATAACTGGAAGTTGCTATCTTAATTAGGATAAAACTGTCATGGTGGTCTCTTTATCTGAAGTAGGAACAGCCTTTCAGATCGTTGTAAGCTGCTGTTTGTGCTGTGACTGTTGTTCAATGCCTTTACAGAGCCTTGGTAAGACCATGAAGGCGTTTAGCTAATGGGTTTGGTTCCTCAGCTGCTTCCCTCCTATCATCTGTAGAACTGGCGGGGTGTAAGAGTATGCATGTAACAGGGTGAGCACCTATAGATGTGTAAGCAGCCAGCCTCCTCCTACCCACACCATCCTGCCATCCAACTGCAGAGTGAAGTAACTTACCAGAAGCCTTTCTGTCCTTAAGTTGGTTTAGGACTTGACTGGAAAAAGCCAAAGCTTAATAGGTTCCCACATAGTAGCTGATCCTCTGCAATTGCCTGCGTTGCTGCTCTGTCCTCAGCAAGGCTATTCAACATGACTTGAACTGTTCAGATTTTGTGCAAAAACTTTTGGGATTCTTCCATCTTCTTTCCTGGTGGACTGGAGTGCAGCTTCCCTGTGTGGGGGTTTTTCCTTTGTGCCCCTGCTATACGTTTCTGGTGCTAAATCTCAAGTGCCTTAGTCTGGTTTCAGATTCATTTACAGGTATGTGACAATCCAGGAAGGGAGTTGCAGGTGGCAGAAAAGGTGATTCTTGAATTTGTTGCTTCTCACTAAGACATACCTGGGGAAGCTTTGCTTCAATGCTGCGTGTTTCAAATATGTGTAAACCTAACGTAAAAATTTTGGTAGGAATTAGCTGTGCTTTAGAGCAAGTCCATGGAGAAGTCTTAAGGATGTATGTTTGAAGGAAAAAAAAAAGTGTGGAGAAATGAATTTCGTAACAAGATTGTGTAGATGCATTAATGTGCTCTGTTATGTGAAAGCAATAGCTTCTTTCAAGAAAGAGAGTGAGCGGCAGGTTAAATTTAGCTCAGTTAAAATAAAAGCAACTTTTTAACTGTCAGATTTGCCAAAGTTCAGCTTTGGTACATACAAATCTAACCTCACTCTGTATTGTGGTTACGTGCTTTATTGATCACTAAGTTAAATTCTGTTCTCAATTACTCTTGTAACTTTGTTGATGAGATGAACTACTGTTACGCATTGGGGTGCTTCTGGTTGAGAGGCCGGCGTTTCTAGTTGGCATAGGGTCTTGGATTTGGCTTTAAAAACATAACTATCTAACTTTGGGCATTCCAAATCAAAACACTCCTAAACTCAGGAAAAAGTAGTACTCTGGTAACATGGCTTTCTTCCTTGTCCCTTTAAAAAGGACGTGATGGTGTATTATTATAAACTGCTACTTGAAAACAAGCTGTACTAATCTATGAGACTGAGTCAAAGTAGGGTTAAGGTTTTGTGGGGCGCAATAAAAAAAATCTCAAGCAGTAACAGAAGATGGGGGTAAGGTTTGTTGAACTTCTTTGCAAAGCTGTAGACTCTTCTTGGGAAAGAAAGTCTCCTTGGTTGCAACACATGGTGTGGTCTGAGCCACAGTTGGTGCTACGTGACAATGTGGTGGCTCATTGAAGAGGACCAAACTTAATCCCAGAAGAAGGATTCACTTCAGGCTCTGACTGGGTTGTGAGAATTCAGATTGGTAGACAACGGTGCCCTACAAGAAGACTTTTACTTTCCTCCCAGCTTTTATAAGTATATGACTGGGTGTGGGAAGAAGAATCTGATTATAGTGTGTTTGAAAACTGAAAATTTAGCAGCTGAAGTCACTGATAGTCCATATACTTAAAATATACCCTTGCTTAAAACATAGCTGTAAAATATGCTGTGCGTATTCCACAACAGTTGTGTGTCACGGTTGCTTCATTAAAGTGTGAAATTGGGGTAGGACAGAAAGAAGTGTTGTTGAAAGTGTATAGTGTGTTTGGCTGGTAAAAGCCTAAGGATAAATTTTTCAGGAAAAGATAAGTTCACAAAGTAACAGAGCAAGAAGTTGACTGTAGAACGTGCATTAAAGAGTGGTACAAACAGGTGGCACAGATGTGCTTCATCTAGAATGGGCTCCCTGCCTTGCTTTGCCTCATGCCCTCTGGCTACCACGTGGCTTAAATGGCCTGTCTTTGGAAGAGCAGAATGGTAAAAACAAGCTTTTCATTGCCATTTGACCATGGTTTAGATTTTTTCCTTTCTCTACCCTCTTTCCTGTCTAAAGTAAAACTAAACTCAAGACTTTTCAGTGAAGGCAAAAATAGTATGAAAAATAAACAACTGATTGTTGTTTTTTTGGCCCACAAGGACTGTAGTCTTGTTTCAGTGCATGTGCGTTCAGTTATTGTTGGAACTGTTCATTAGTATTCTCTGGCCCAGCTTTGCACAGGGGACTGGACCAGATAATTTCCACAGGTCACCTTTCAACATAAACTATTCTGTGACTCGAGGGCATCCGCTGAGGCAAAAATATGTATTCCTAAAGCTATGATAAACTACATATCATTTATGTCACTTTCCCCACCCCCAAGATTCATTATAACTGGTTCTGAACTACCCCTCTGCTCCATAAAACCTCTTTTTGGAAATTCCCAGTGAGACTTATTTCCAATTCTGGATTAAATGGCTAAAACAAGAACACCAAACAGTAGAAACTTAGAATGTCAAATTTTGTTTCTTCTTCGTCCTTTCTCTTTAAAGAGGAAAGGATGTGATGTTCTGCTGCTTTACAGTCCTTTTGTTTTCCCCTTGTAACCTGACAGTCTTGTACATATCCAGTAAGCATACAAAGTTGCCATTTAAAACAAAATTGTAGACTTGAAGACTTTATTGTTGTTATAGTCAATATAGACTATATGATGTTAATGTTACTTGTTCAATAATCTCTTACTAGTCACAGGTGCCAGGGAGCATACTTCAGTGGAGAGGAGACGTGTAAATGACTACCTACCACCTGAAGTCTTTCTGAAACAGCCTGCATTTTTCAGCTTTGAAAAAATAGTGTTGCTCTTTCTTAGGCTGTTCCCATTGGGTTTATTAGCTTTAGTGGTGTATATGAGGTTTGGTTGTCTATAACAAACTTCTCTTTCCAGGGGAATGATAGGTACATCGTATCTAGTGACACCAGAGCACAGCTGAAATTTCTTGAAAAGCTTGACCACCTAGAAAAGCAGAGAAAGGCTGAAGAGGAACGTGAAATGTTGCTTCGAGCAGTCAAGGTAAGAAGTTCACAAGGAGCGGTGTCCTTTAGACCGCAGAATATCTTCAAGTTTCTCTTATTTCTGCTATGAATGTAGCAGCCATTAACCCTGTAACTGGAAAATCATGTTTAGGATAGCTTAAACTATACAGCAAAGTATTTTGGCTTTTTATGTTCTTTAAAAAAATAGCAGGATTTCTTTCAAATGTCTCAAATCTTTTGAGATTATTCCTGCCGGTCAAAATGAAATGAAAGAAGTATTCTCATGGCTGTAAACTTCCTTCCTGTCTCTATTTCTGGCTCTGAAATTGGCGTGTCTTTTTCCGTATCTGTGTATGGCCCAGTTTGAAAATATGGATTCACTGTGTTTGTTCAGACTGGAGCCTGGTGAGATCCATCGCCCTGCCAGATGTATTTGTCTGTAGTCAGATCAGAGACCTCGCCTTGGAGCTGGTACCCTGGCATCTGCAAACCCCTGCTAGTACAGAATAAGTACCCTTCCTCCCCCTTCCCTCCCCTCAAGAACAGGAGGAAAAAAAGCCAACAAAACCACAAAAAAAGCAATCAGTAGATATTGCTCCATCAGATGTGACTCGATCATCTTCTGTTTGTTTGGTTTTTTTGGTTTTGTTTCAAGCTGAATTCTGGAGCCCCATGGGTGGAAATCTAATCTAGACTTGAAAGAATCGTGTTGTACTTGCACGAGTATGACTCCCTTTCTTTTCTATACTTCCTGTCCTTTTTAAGTGTCTGCTGCTGACATGAACAACATCATGCCTAGACTGGACCTGACTGACAGTGTTAGCATCATTTTCAGCTTAATCTTGCTTCAGGCTAGAGCAGAGGCAGCCGGCCCAGATGAGGAGGGGGGTTGCGCGTATGTGCGTGGAGGGGGAGGGAAGCCAGTCTGGATTGAGGCATTCACCCCTGGAGCTAAATCTTTCAATCACCAGAGAAAATTGTCATTTATTAAATATTTAAGGGATACGATGCTGTTTGGATGCGAGTAATTTCTCTTCAATCTTTTTCCTCTTCCTTTGGTAGAGCCGTTCCAGTAAAGATGATCCAGAGCAACTGCAGTTAAAGCAGAAAGTGAAAGAGGTAGGTCTCTCCAGTTACCATGCTTGCCTTTGTGTGTTGAGAGAAGGTTGGCAGCCCTGTCCTGGCAATTAGGTCAGGGTTTATTTTGCTGCTGCATACCATTTGCAGAGGCCTTGGGGAAGGACAGGAACTGCCACAGGCAAGGGCAGTGCTTCAAATGAGGTCAATGAATTATGAGCTCTCTTTTTTAACATTTTATTTTTGTAGCTTCAGTCCTGTCTAGAAACGGTCCTTTGTAAACTGCAGCAGTACACTTGGTAGGAATATAATGTGGGATTAGAAAAAAGAAAAAAAAAAAAGAAACTTTGAGATTTAGCATCTGGGACTGTACAATAGGCTACATTTTTCCAGGGTAATTGTTCGTTTTGTAAATCTGATACTGCTTATAATTCTTTGGCTGGGAGGCGGTACTGGGATTTAGTTTTAAATGGAAAACGCCTCTGGCTTTTAATTTTCTGGGCCCAGCAGTTTTCTGTTCTGGAATGGAGCCCTTGTTTCACACAGTTCATGTTTAGCTGCAGGGGTTTTAGTTTATAGCTTAGACTGGTTAAGCTTTTACTCCCAGAGGCCTCTGCATAGCAACTGTAGAAATCAACAAATAAGTTCATTTATGTCTGCAGCCTCCTCTCAGTAGCTGACTTTTTACATTTCCCAATATCCATTTCCTGACTTTTCTAGCCTGAGAGAAAAAAGCTCCACTAATTGGAGCTTATTTTAATTGAGCCTTAATATTGGATCTCACTGGAGTTGCCCCCAGAGCTACTGGGAACAGAATGAAATGAAAGTACCTAAGGTTGAAGATGTGTGTGCGTGTGTATGTGTGTGTGAAATTTTTCACTTGACCTACAGATTCTTTTCCCTGCTGAATAAATCATCAAGCCTGTTCACATTTCTGATTAAGGATCTGACAGCAGACGATAATAAAGACAATTGAGGTGTGAGACGTGTGATACAGAGCTGAAGAAATTGGTTTCTATAGTTACTTGACTGATTTCATGCAATTTTTAAGGATCTTTGTGCTAAATGAGAGTTATTTTCTGAGCAACCTTTTTCCTTAACTGTGCCTCTTGAACTATGAAATTTGTTGTTGCTTAACATTGCTGCACTTGGCTCCTAGGTGCCAGCAGCAGCAGCAGGTTATTTATGAATGCTTTAAAGGCCCTTATTGTTTGGATTAATGTAGCAGCCCAGGCAAAACAAATGGAAATCCAGTAAAATAGTATTAGAATCAATGCTCTGGATTTGCACCGTAGTAGAAGAAATTTATAAAATAAGAGGAGAAAGAAGGAACTTGCTTTCCTATCTATCTTTAATTCTTTTTTTCTGCTTATAGCTCTTTCTTCATGCTTACAATCTGTGAGTACAAAGTTGCCCTAAAGCCCTTCCCAGTTTGCCTCTAGTGCCACCAGCATCAACAATCAGTGGGTGATGCTAATTTGTCTTGTTTTGTAGGTGGCTTTACCTCTGCATCATCTGGTCGTTTCTAGAGGTTCTTTCTTTTAATAAAACACTGCCAAACGCTTCATTTATACAGCTTCTTTTCTCTTTTCCTCTGAACAATAATGTTGTAGGGTCTTGAAAAATATATTCTGTGATCTGGATATTCAGAACAGAAAGAAGTCAGGTATGTGTTTTGGGTCTTTTTTTTTTTTTTTTTTCACGTGTTTTGGGTCTTTTTGTTTTGGTTTTTTTTTTAGATTGGTTGGTATTGTTAATGAGATCTCTTATAAAAAGTGGCATATAGGTGTACAAGGAAGGAGCCAACAGAGCAGAGAAGGCATCTTATCTGAGTTTAGTGCTCGGTGTTCTACTAGATGCTTGAGTTCACCTCCTTCAGTGCATTTTATCTTGTGCCAGACTAACACATTCTTCATCGCACTTGCCCTGCATATTTCTCTGTGCTGTGCTGTTCCCAGAGTGATGGTCTCCAACTGCTTCACCAAAAGAAGAGGAGGAGGCAGATGTGCCTCGTGGGACAACACAGATCTTTGTGTTGGTATTGACTTGCCCTCTGTTCTGCTGCTTTGCTCCTCAGAAAATGAGGCAGCCAGAACTTCTCCAGGCTTCACGTGCCACTCGGGAAGCCCACCTTTTGTGCCAGGGTTGCTTTCTTACCTATGAATCTTGAGTGGAAATGAGCCCAAATGCAGCTTGTCAGTTTTGGCACTTTATTGACAGTTTGGAGATAAATGGTCAGCACACAATTGCATGAAAAAATGTGAGTAGAGCTGGAATAAGAGCAAAATAAAAATCGACAAATATCCCAAGGCTGAAACTGGTAACCCAGATGCACGGTGTATACTGGGATAAAAGCCTGAAAAGGCTCACCATTGTCTGTCTGTCTGGTGAGTGTAGCCTGCTCCTAAGAAACCACACTTGGGGAATTTTCATACCTCTGTCAGCTGGAATCAGATCCTTTCCAGGCCACTTTGGCTGAGTATTCACAGGAAAGCCTGACCTGATCCCCTTAAAGTTCTTTCAGAATGAGTATGGGCCTTCCTTCCTCAAAGCTGTCTTTTATGTGCTGATGGTGACCCCCCAGAGAAGGGAGAGGGTGTGGGGTAATGACACTGGAGCACGTTCTAAAGCAATGTTTCCCAAAATGCAGAGTGTACATCCTAACAATGAATACTTATAAATCCAGGATGTGCTGTCATCCAGCAGCTGGAGGCAACATCTTAACATTGCTGGAAGTACATCCAGAGACTCAGCAGTGGATTCTTTTATCCAAAAGGCTATACATAATTGCTGTGACCTTTTCATCCCTTTTTGCATGACCTATTGCCTCGAACTTCCCCTATGCCAAGTCATTTACTTTCCTATACTCTTAATCTATGTAGCTTGCTATGAATTAAGTCTTTATTTACTTCCCCCTTTCACCTGTTTCAGCAGATTTTAATACCTACAGAAAGCGTGCATTCCTTCTGAGACAGCTGCAAGGCTTGCCCCAAGCTGCTCCTTTGTGTGCTCAAGAATTTTGTCCTTGTTCACCTCATGGGCCAGCTCTTTGTGCAGTGACATTCCCGAAGTCTGGGTAAATTACCCCTGATTTTCATTCAGCCTTATCTGCGACTTAACCTGAGAGGATATAGTCCTTGCATTGTCCCTGATGTGAGGACTTTTTAAACCATAACTTTTTCTAGGTGCTTTCTGCTATTTCCTGTTCTACTTTCAACGGCACTTCCGATTATAAAGAAAGTGTTCAGTTGATGCATTTTTTTGTAGCTGTATTTATAGTTTATCTCTGGCTTCATCCCTATTCTGAAATGAGCTTGCTTAAATTGAGTAGGTGTAGGATACTGTCAAATGCACAAGCACGCCATATGAACAGTGCATCCCAGAAGACCTGTAAAAATGTCAGTATTAAACAGTGTGTACTGTAAATTTAAACATAAACCCTGATCTTTTGTACTTCTGTGCTTGTAGTGTGGTTTCAGGAAGCTTAAGGCTGAGGCTGGGCACACCTTTCAGACTGTATGTGTGCAAGATTGCTGCTTGGGGTTGAGCACGTTCTGGTAGCACCTTCACTTGTCCCATGGTACCTACCTTCATCTCTGCTCTTACCTTGTGGCACCTTGCAGCGTCTATTGGTGGAAAGAGGTGAGCAGCTGCATCTTAAACTGCGGGAAGGAGGTTGTGGAGCAAGCACCTGAGGGACAGCAGACCTGCCTGCCCCATTCCTTGCTCTTCCAGCAGCTCTGTGTACTTACAACGACACGTGTCCTCTCAGTCCCTTGTTCCTGTTTGATGCACTGGTGTATTTTACTGTTATGATTTGACACAAATGTCACGAGACGGGCAGCAGATGAGATGCTGAGAAAATTCAATACCTTTATTATAAACTGACTGGGAGGAAGATAGAAAACCCTAGGTTCTCTGTAAAGACAAAACAAACTCAATCAAAAACATCCAAAAAAGTCTGCATGATTCCAGTGAGTTCCTGGGTGCTATATAGTAATGACTGAAATTTAGTCATTCTGTAGTACCTTCTTTTCAAAAATAACCTTTTTTTTTTCTGTATTTTCCTGTGTCCATCCGAACTCTTTCCCTTACTTTCTCTCTTATTCTCAGATAACAAGTAACTATAACTTGATTCTTTGTCTGCAGCTCTCCTTACTGTCTCCAACCCACATTTTCAAGCTGTTAGTTTCCTTTTCTGTCCCCAACACCTCTTGTGCTGCTTCTGTATTTAGTCTTCTGGACCTAATGGTTCAAATTCTTTAAGACCACTCTTGTGGCAGGGGAAAAGGAAACTCCCTAGTTAACCATAACCTCTCAAAAAAGCAAATAAGGATGCTGCGAGCAAAATAAGATCTCATCACAATCAATTGGCTTTTTATGAGCCTTCAGTGACATTCTGAGAGCTTCTGCTTAATTATCTGATTTATATTATCTTTATTGTTTCATAGTGTTTCTTGCCTACTTCTGCATGGTTTTGGGGGGAAAAAAAAGAAGCATGATTATTGAAGAGACATGAATTTTGTTACCTGCAGTATAGCCCTACAAATAGCAAAGGGCTGTCATCAGAGATTCAATGTGTTACGAGTCTTGCAGAAAGTCAGGGATGGAAATCCTGTAAAGTGTTATCTTATTGGGCAAACAAAAAAGAGACCCAAATCCCTGTTTATATGGGTTCCTTTTCAGCCTGTTCTTGGATTTTCAAATAGCGTTTTCTAAATTTCCCTGAGAGACTATAATGGACATGTAACCACCTGAAAGTATGGCCTTGGATTGGAAACCTGCTAATAAAGGAAATTTTAGGACTAAAAGTACAGCAAAAAATAATGGAGAGCCAGAGAGTTCTGTGCCAAGAACAAGTGTTGGGTGGGCAGCACAATGAGATGGAGAAACCTGTAGGTGGAAGATTGGTCTTAAACTTTTTCTAGCTTTGAGACCTCAAGAGTGAGTGAATGAATATGCAGTGTTACAGCAGCTGAAAATAATTCAGAATATTGTGTGTTTATAGGAACAATGATTGGTTTTAAAGTAATGTCTCGCAA